ACTGGGTGGTCAGGCTGATCAGTGCTTCTATATATAGTGTGGGACCTCATTACACATACTATACATGACCAGATACTGGGTGGTCAGGCTGATCAATGCTTCTACATATAGTATGGGACCTCATTACACATACTATACATGACCAGATACTGGGTGGTCAGGCTGATCAGTGCTTCTACATATAGTGTAGGACCTCATTACACATACTATACATAACCAGATACTGGGTGGTCAGGCTGATCAGTGTTTCTACATATAGTGTAGGACCTCATTACACATACTATACTTGACCAGATACTGGGTGGTCAAATTGATCAGTGCTAGTGTAGGACCTAGATGCCATGTGACTTGAATCAAAGTAGCATGAACTCTCGTTGATTTATCCAAGGCCAGGCATAGTGTAAGCCAGGTCATCAAGTATCTGTGTCTAGAAAATACAGAAAAAAACATGTGAATCTTATGTACACAACAACCAACAAGAATTTAAAGCTTACATGACAAATAAATTCAGTTACGCTCCTCAAGATACTAACCTGTTTCTCCTTAGAAATACCAGAAATTCCTGGAATATGCGATGTCAAGAACGTCAAAGGACAAATAGCACATAAAATGGAATCCAAAAGGACTGACAAAGAACCATGGACCTCAGTTTCTTTCTGGGGAAAATATTTAAAATAATCAATTTAAACAATTTCTGGATTATACTGTATACAAGACCCTGCACCCATACCCGTGCCATTAGACTGACCCCTATGACATAAAGGGATTGTCTGGATAATACAAGACACCACACTCATACCTGTGCCATTAGACTGACCCCTATGACATAAAGGGATTGTCTGGATAATACAAGACACCACACCCATACCTGTGCCATTAGACTGACCCCTATGACATACACTGTAAAGGGATTGTCTGGATAATACAAGACACCACACCTATACCTGTTCCATTAGACTGACTCCTATGACATACACTGTAAAGGGATTGTCTGGATAATACAAGACACCACACCTACCCGTGCCATTAGACTGACCCCTATGACATAAAGGGATTGTCTGGATAATACGAGACACCGCACCCATACCTGTGTCTTTAGACTAACCCCTATTACACTAAGGGATTGTCGGATATTATGAGACACCACAGCCATACCTGTGCCATTAGACTGAGCCCTATAACACTTAGGGATTCCCCAAGTAGTTTGAGATGAGCTGCCATATCTACTGCATCTGGTCCAGGCTTTGCAGTTTCATCCTTTGGGACTGCCAAATAATTCTTTTTGATATCATCAGCTTTTGCTTTCCATTCCTGTAGGTGAAATCTATGGTTAGTCTCTTTCTGGTTGTTTACTGCTTATTTCATTCAGGCTTATAAGATCTCTAACTTAACTTCCGTGAATTTGAGACCAAATGGTTGTCAACATTTCCCTGCCTTTTATGGGTTTTCTGTATCATTGATGTCAGGTACTTCACAACGGTCACCCCCCCCCCCCCCCCCCCCTTTCCCATTCTCCTTTATCTGCCCTTGGTACTGAATGGAGAGTGACAAAACACCTGCACATGAAATGCTTATATACAGTAGATGGTTTCAATAATTCACTGATGACTACTGATGATCTTAAGCAAAAAATCAACTTTAAAAGAATAAGTATAGTATGTTAGCACCACTTTTAAAATGAAAGCAAAAAAATGTTAGAGTCTCCAAGCAACACAGTAGCATATATTATATACTGTTTCAAAATACAATAGGCAGCATTCATTCATTCCTTCCTTCCTCCATAAAACATATTGTCAATATTTGTCATTTTGTGGGTAGAAAAACCACAGGCAACCCAAGCTCACTACATTTATAATAGAATGTATGCCAATTTAGAATATTTTTCTTAGTGATGGAAATTTTTTTCTTAAACACCCTTCAAAACTTACTGAAACTGCATACAGAAGTTCAAAATAAACAAAATGACACAACAGGTTAGTCAAAAAACTTTTATTCACGTTTTTGTAAATAAAATTTGGCATATTCTAAATCCCCATACGTACATTCTCTTATAAATGTAGTGAGCTTGGGTTGCCTGTGGAAAAACATGGGATGTTTTTTCTCTAAATTAATGGTACAGTAGGTCATTCTCACTTTACAGTACCTGCTTAGTAGATTCTGGTAAGCTTTTCCAGGCTTCTCCTACTTTCTGACTTATCTGTGCAAACTCTGCTCCAAACCAAAATGGAAAAAAGTTTATTCAATAATTTGGAACTTCAAGGGCGGATCCAGGAAGGTGGATTGGATGGGTAGCCACCCTTTTTTGGGGTTGAAAATGACAAGAATAAAGGATGAGGTAAAACCTAAAAAGGATGCTATGTAATAACCGCCACCCCCCTTGAAATCATTCTGGATCCTCCACTGAACTTATATAAAGTACAGTGTACAATTGTCTTCAGATGTAAAGTTTGAATTTTGGTCAATTTCATTTATTTGATTTGATTTAAAAAAAATGCTTAATTTGATTGCCTTACCAAGACCAGGGTTAGCTTCATATATTCGAGATCTTTCTTTCTTACAGAATAGGAGATAGCCAGAGACTATTTTGCGTTTCTAGAATTAATAAAAATAATAAAAAACATATAGTTTTAATTACCTAAAAATAAAAACACATGTCAACACACACAAAAATTACCAAAACAAATTTTAAGTTAATTTCTGGATCCAAACCTGGGACAGCGAAAACATTACTCTGAGCTTGTGTGTGTTTGTTGGGAAGAATAGGGGGATCCCCACCTCACATAAACAAAATTACTAAGAGTAGAGTATTAAAAGCTTTCCTTCCCCTTTAGAATCCCACACTTCCATTTTATACATGTACTTTGCCACCCTATGAAAGGTTTTACATGTCATACTTGAAATGAAAAAAGAGTGAATATTTCAAATGAAAAATAAAATATACAAAAAACAGCCAAATATTTAACCCACCCTCTTGCTTACATACACCACTTACTTCCTTAAATATAAAAAAGTCAAATATTTAACCCACCGTATTGCTTACACACAGCACCTACTTCCTTAAATAATAAAAAACAGTCAAATATTTAACCCATCCTATTGCTTACATACACCACTTACTTCCTTAAATATAAAAAACAGTCAAATATTTAACCCACCCTGTTGCTTACATACAGCACTTACTTCCTTAAATATAAAAAAGTCAAATATTTAACCTACCCTGCTGCTTACATCCTGCACGTACTTCCTTAAATATAAAACTGTCAAATATTTAATCCACCCTGTTGCTTACGTGTACATACAGCACTTACTTCCTTAAATATAAAACAGTCAAATATTTAACCTACCCTGTTGCTTACATACAGCACTTACTTCCTTAAATAT